TAAAAATTTTGTATGTATGCAAATTCGTTATTCAGTGCTCAATAATGAAGTGCTTAATTGCTACGAGTGCAATCCTCAGGAGGGAAAGAATTGCAACGACAGGGAACGTAAATGTTCTTCGAAGAAATACTGCACAAAACAGATAGTGAAACTTGGATGTGAGTTCCTGTCCTTTAACCGCCAAACCGTTTCTCAATCGTAGGTTACAGCTGGCTTCCAACTAAGCAAATCATGCTCGAACATCAATGTGCTTGGAGTTAACAATGGTTGTGCCAGCTACGATCTCATCACCAGTCCAGGAGGAGTTGCCGTTCGTAATAAGTACTCACAGTGCTATTGTCGTGACAAACAATACTGTAATTCTGTCATTTTAAGCAACTTCGTAACCTCTATGTTGATTACGGCTATTTCCTTTTTGCTCTTGACGAACGCATAAATTATTACTTACCCTTTTCTATATTAAAAAAAAATAACAAGAGGTGGGTTGGAGAATGTATGGGTACCTGTGATTACTTATATAACTTAATTTTAGGGTTTTTAGTGCATAAGGACTAATATCCCTTTTTATATGCCCATAGTGACTGAACCTCAAATGCAGCTCAGCGAAATACAGTATGCGTTTGTCACCTCCTGGAGATAGCTGACCTTTAAAACGGTTCTTTTGATAGCTCCGCTTAGCTTATAGGGAAATTTAGGAAGAAACCCAGCTTAAGTTCTCTTGCCTTTTTATGTTTGAGGTAAGCTTCTATTCAATCCATGTGCTAGAATTGCGACAAACGCGAGATTTTCTTGAAATTGAAACTCATCAGCTCTATATTGCCTATAGAATGAACCAAAAATTCAACACCAATATGCTGTTTCCCACTGTTAAAAAAGATTTCCAAAACACTTTTTGCCATGAGTTTTTATTTAAATTTAGCATTGAAGTCTAAATTCGGATGAATAGGATTAATGAACGGATTCAAACCATGATTTATACATTCTGTAACTGACAAGAAACAGAAAAACCAAAAAAAAAAACAAAGTTAAGGAGTGAATGGAAGAATTGAGATCAGATTGGAGTGGATGTGTTGGTGCATAGAGCGCATGTTTTTGCACATCTAGTCGCTTTTATCCGCTCATAGAAGGGATCTGTGCAAAAACCATTGTGCGCGTACATAGGACATCGAGGATCCTGAAAGATTTGTGGATATCCAAGTATTGTATAAATATGGGTTAGAGTTGAATGAAAGTTTTAAAAACTTGCAGGCCTTCTCTAAAATAAGCATAAGCTGTTTTTGAAAGTCTAATTTCTTGTGCAAGCAAAAATCGTTGAGTAATGTGAACAAATCCGAAAAGGCAACATCGCACAGCCCATGCGTGCGGCCAAAAATATTGTCAAGCTTATGCGTCTTTACGCGAGCTCCTATAAAAATAAAATAAGGAAAATTTTGAGGTATAGGCCATTGATATGAAAATGTGAGGCAAGACAGCAACAAGCGCTACATCAAGAGAAAGCAAAAAGAAGTAAAAGTTGGAATGGTAACAATGAAATAGCCCATTTTACGTTTCAAACCCGATTGGAAAGTAGTTCTGAAGAAATAAAGGGAAAGCCTAGGAAAATTCTCAAACAGCAATAATTTCAAAGATGCAGGACCATAGTATGATTAGGCAAATAAAGGGGAAAAAAACAAAACAGGATGTGAAGAATAGTGATTTGGAAGGACGTTCTTCAAACGGGAAGCCATAGTCCTTTGAAGGATCAAGCGAATCGCTTTGGCTAATTGGCTAAACGGAGTTGAAAATTGCAGAACTGAACATTCATACTTTAGTTGGACGTGATCTCCAAAATTGAAAGTGTAGATTTCTAAAGTTACAACTCTTGAAAAGCTGAAGAAGATGGACTAGAGAAGAGCTCGCGTGCGCTACGTGGAGATGTTAATAGTTAGTTCATTTAAACCTGCAGGAAAAAATTCTCTTAAACATTCCTGGGCGTTTAGGCCAAACTACTGTGATTGCATACTTTGCAGTATTGGTGGGATCATGTGAAAAAGCTTTGATTTTATAAGTCAAATTTGTTCTATGAGCTGCAAGCTGGCAGCTGCTCAGCATAGCTATTTCGTTTCCTTCTTGTGAAGACAAAGTTGACAAAGCAAACGGCTAGAAAAATACTTACATACTGAGAGGATATTCAGATAATTTTATAAAAGCATTTAAAATTAGCGATTTTGGAGCTGAGAAAAAAATGATAGCGAAAATTGGATGCGCTTTAAAAGGAATTTTCCGTTGGGTTTTACCAGTATATTAAA